AGAGCAATGGGGTTAGAAGATTAAGCCATGCAAAGATTTTAAACCATCCATTTTCTGGATGGACATCTTCAAGGTGTCATTGGGAATGACTCAGAGCAGCGACGCTTGTGATGCAAAACTCACTCCTGGGTGTTATTTTCCATTTGCGAACTGGTTGGATCCACTTGAGTCAAACTGTGCTTTTGTAGACTTGGTTGCTTCTTTTGGAAGTGTTCTTTCAAATTAGGTTACAGAAACAAGAGCTGAATTACACAGACAGCTGCAGAAACAGATTTCTCCTTTCAAATGTAAGATGAAAAAGGGAATATTGAGAGTACTCCTTTAGTGTTGAAACAAACCAACTTTCTTGGTAAGGTTGTTTCTTCACAGTCAGGAATTGGGGGGTGCGGTGTCCGCAGGCCTTGAAGAGGCAGCCAGGCCCCCTTCAGGGCAGAAGTGGGGGTCATGCAGATGGGTGTTTGAATTCTGTTCTTCTCCTCATAGTCAGGTGACTTTGGTCAAGGCGTTTTAACCCTGTTACTTCCTTCATTTGTAAACTTCTTGCTCCTGAAAACTCCCTCCTGGGGTTGCTGTGAGGGTTAATTGAGAGGGTGTGTATCTTGTTGCAGACTGATTTGCTCGATAAATGGAAGTTATTATGTAAATTGCTGGCAGACTACTGCTTGCTTTTGTGCACTCACGTTTTTGTTCTAGATCTGTTGTTCATAGACGGCGGCGTGACTATCTAATTTATCATCCAAACTGAGACCTTTTGAGAATGAAAGAGTACAGCAAACCAGAGTGGACTCTGGGCTTCCAGGAGTAGGTTAGGACTAACCCCAGCCCCACCTGGATGTGTGGTCACCTTGCCAAAGACTTAACTCCTGGTGAGACAAGAGCCAGTAGGAGAGAGCTGGCTGTCGTCATCCCTTCTGCTGGAGAGATGACAAGTAAAAGGGGGAGAGCTTGGGGAAAGGTGGGCTTTGCCTGTATTGGTAAGCTAGTTAGGAACCAATGACCCAGTGTTTGGAAAATGTTAAGAGTAGAAGAAGCCAGTGTGGCTGGTGTGTCTGCCTTCGGCTCAGGGTCCTGGGATCCAGCCCCACATCGGGCTTCCTGATGGGAGCCTGTTTCTCCTTCCTCTTCTGCCTACTCTTCCCTCTGCTTGTACTCTCTCTTTCTGTCAAATAAACAAATAAAGTAAAAAAAAAAAAAAAAAGAGAGAGAGAGAAAGAAAGAAAGAAAAAGAAAAAAAAAGAAGAGAAACCCTCTTTTCCCCCTCCCTTGCCATCATATGATTTGGCAGAGGCCTTCCCTCTGTTGGGCCCAGACTGGGCTGGAGTCTAAAATAGCCGACATGTGCCAAGAGAGCATAAAACCTATAGGGTTAGGGTGAAGACCCCAGCATGGTTATAAGTATGCCTTTTCTTGGGAGTCAGACCACATGCATTTATGCTACTGTGCTTATTTCTCTGCTATTTGCCAGTACAGTGGTACCCAAATTTGCAGGAATTTAAGGATAAACTGACATTACTTTAAAACACCTATTTTCAGATTGCCACTGTAGACCTCTGAATCCAAATCTCTTGACATTCTGTCTGTTTAAACTAGCATCCTGGGGACACCTGAGTGGCTCAGCTGGCTAAGCATCTGCCTTTGGCTCAGGTCATGATCCCAGGGTCCTGGGGTGGAAGCCCATGTCAGGCTCCCTGCTTGGTGGGGAGTCTGCTGCTCCCTCTCCCTCTGCCCCTTCCTCTACTTGTGCTCTCTCTCTCTCTCAAATACATAAATAAATAAATAAAATTTTAAAGATAATAATAAGCTAGCGTCCTGGCCACACAAAGTTAGAAGACATTGCCCTTGTCCTGAGAAAAGTTGTTTAAACTTTCTAGCTTTGATTTGGTTGTGCCATGGGATGTTAAGAAATGCTTTTTGTATGTAACTTTGTATCAACTGTACATCAATTAAAAAAAAAATTCCTTTTGTTATCTCATGCTCGGGTCTCATATGAAAGGAAGAAAGCATCCAAGGAGCCTTTGCTGGAGCAAAGATAATGAGGCCAAGATTCCCAGAAGAAAGATGAATGCCTGGGACAGGGTTTAGGGTTTGGTGGTCTCTGCTTCTGGCTCTATAGTCACCTGGGGGCTCTTTTTTGGTGTCAACCTTGGAGGAACTGGGTTTTATTTTTATTAGAAAAGCAGTGATTCCATATCCTTATACTTTATCTCTCTATCACTCTTTGTCTTCTTTCCCCATCATGATTCCAGAAAGAGTTGTTCATACTTTCTGTCTTCACTGCCTTCATTCTTATTGACTCTTAACTGATCTGGGCAACCCTGGGCAGGTTAATGAATGACTCTGGGTCTCAGTTTGCTCACCCTGACTTGTGGATGAGGTCATGCCAGAAACATTGTCCCTGGTAGATAGCAAAATGTGCTCTTGATTCCTTCACTTCCTTTACCTACTTCTGCCCCCCAGAAAGAGATGAACTTTCTCCTCCTAAAATTGTTAGTTACCTCATTGGAAGATTCAGTGGTACACTTCTTTGTCAATATTCAAGACTATACTCAGTTCTTGAAATTCTTATTCTTTTCTCATATTTATGCCACTTTTCCCAGTGTTTGTCCTTGTTCTTTTTCCTTTGCATACACCTTACATGTGGTTGTACTGATGAAATTATATAGTTATTAAAAAGTAATAGGGGCGCCTGGATGGCTCAGTGGGTTAAAGCCTCTGCCTTCGGCTCAGGTCATGATCCCAGGGTCCTGGGATCAAGGCCCATCTGGCTCTCTGCTCAGCAGGGAGCCTGCTTTCCTTCCTCTCTCTGTGCCTGCCTCTCTGCCTACTTGTGATCTCTGTCAAATAAATAAAATCTTAAAAAAAATAAAAAAAATAAAGTATCATCGTGAAGACTGTGGAAAGATGCAGGAATGATTACTTTAACATCCTAAATAGAAAGAGTGCCACAGAGAATGCTACATGTTAAAAATAGGTAAGGAGCTTTTGGTCTTAAGAAGGTATTATGACAGCATTATGTGATCTGAAGACGTCCTACCCAAGCCACAGCCACACCCACACCCACAGCCAAGATCCCCCAAGGGCAGCAGACGTGCAGGGAACACCAACTCATGAGAATTAAGGTGCCTTTTGCTGGGCCTGACTGCCCCTGTGGGCGTCAGGCCTGAAGACTGGCTTTATCTTCCAGGCATAAATAGACTCTTACCTCTGAAGGAGCATGTCAGAGAGAGATGCCAGGTCCTCTGCCTGAGACGGCAGGGTTTCAGCAATGAACAAAGGAGCTGCAAAGAAGAAAGATTGTCTCTTGGGTGTGCTGGGGCAGGCTCATATAAGCTTGAGAGAGCAGATTCTGATCATCTCTTTCTAATTCTGCGTTTAGCGGACTTCAGGTTGAAATTAGTCCTCGCAGGAATATTTACATGGTGGAAATTGGTGAACACTACAAAGTGTGGCCTCCCACTCCCTACCTTTGCTCAAAGTTGAATGTTAACTATTTATCAGCACACCACCAGGGGAGGGCAGGAAACATGGCTAGAGAACATGCAACACTCCCTTCCTCTGAGTTGGCTCTGGATATAAAATGGGGAGAGCAGGGGCACCTGGGTGGCTCAGTGGGTTAAGCCTCTGCCTTGGTCTCAGGTCATGGTCTCAGGTCATGGTCTCAGGGTCCTGGGATCGAGCCCTGCATCAGGCTCTCTGCTCAGCGGGCAGCCTGCTTCCCCCTCTCCCTCTACCTGCCTCTCTGCCTACTTGTGATCTCTCTTTCTCTGTCAAATAAATAAATAAAATCTTTAAAAAAAATGGGGAGAGCATTAGATTGACGTCTGAGTTCACATCTGCAACAACAGAGATGACAATGACAGCCCACTGACCGCGGCTGGGTACTCTGCATCACTGTATCGAGCACTTCCCATGCATAACCTTAATTTGTACTAAAATCCAAGCACTTCCCATGCATAACCTTAATTTATACTCAAATCGCTTTATGAAATAGGAACCATCATTACCTCTGTTTTACACATCAGGAAACTGAGGGTCAGAGATACTAAGTAATTTGTCTAGTGTTATATTGTTGGTGAATAGAAGATTCTGGATTCCAGTCCAGGCAAGGCCTCTCTAGAACATCAGCTCTGACCTCCACTATAACCCCTTCCTGAGAAAGGTGGGCAGAGAGTGACAAAGTTCCTTCTCCAACTTGCACTTGACAGTATGTGTTACTATGATAGAACATTTGTATTTTTAAAAAATAGATTCTTTTGTGTTTTGTGATACAGTTTGTACATAAGGGTTTTAGATATGCAAAGTAATACTATTTATTTTCACGGATATTCACATAGGTAGTAAAGGTATAAAGACGTACATGGAGATAATGTAGGTACATAGCTATATATATTTATTTTAAAGATTTTTATTTATTTATTTGACAGACAGAGATCACAAGTAGGCAGAGAGGCAGGCAGAGAGAGAGGAGGAAGCAGTCTCCCAGGGAGCCTGATGTGGGGCTCGATTTCAGGACCCTGGGATCATGACCTGCGCTGAAGGCAGAGGCTTTAACCCACTGAGCCACCAGGCACCCATAGCTATATTTTAATATAACCTTTCTGTATATTTAAACTATTTTATAATAAAAATTTCATATATTTCTGTATAAGGTAATCAGACTGCTTTTAGAGGGATATGGGTAGTTCTAATCATTTATTCAAAGAATTTTAATGTTGTCATACAGTCTTTCCAGCTAAAAATTATTTTTTAGAAGTGACTGCCTGCAAGATCTGGTAAAAGTGAATAATGTCTGTAGTCAGCAGTATTATGCCAATATGAAGGTCTTGGTTTTGAGAATGTCTTGCAGTTATGTTAAGATGTCATTATTGAGAGGACTGAGTGACACAATGGACCATTACTGCTATTTTTAAATAAATTAGTAATTTTATTTATTATTTGCAAAAAGTTTGAGAATCTCCGTTTTAATGGAGGTCTCCTCTAACCCCCAGGTGCTTTCCCTCTGTTCCTACCCCTCCAACACTTACCACTTGGTAGGTTATGTTTATAAAGTAGCATTTACTTAAAATGCTATTTCTCTTTTCCAGAAAACTTTGATAGGCCACCAAATTTTTTCCACACTTAAAAACTGAGATATGATTCATATACCATAATAACGCTCCCTTTTAAAGCATTAAAATTCAGTGGGTTTTAGTATATTCACAAGGTTGTGTGCAAACCATCACCACTATCTAATTCCAGAATTATTTCATCATCCCCCAAAGGAACCCTGTGCTCATTGGCAGTCACTCATCATTTTTCCCTCTCCCCAGTCCCTGGCAATCAGTAACCAACCTTCCATTTTTATGATTTTGCTTATTCTGGACAATTCATCTGAATGGACTCCTACAACAGGTGGCCTCTTTGACAAACTCCTTTTACATTTAGCATAATGTAATCAAGTTTCATCCATGTTGTAGCATGAATCCGTATCCTCCTCTATATGGCTGAATAATATTCTATCGAATAGGCATAGGACATTTTGCTTATCCATCCATCAGTTCACAGACACGTGGGTTATTTCTATTTTTGAGGGGAGCTATTCTGCATAATGTTGCTATAACATTCATGTGTATGTTATTGCTGGTATATATGCCTTCAGTTCTCTTAGGAATATATCTAGGAGTAGTTATGTTGGATCATACAGTAACTCTGCTTGATTTCTAGAGGAACTGCCAAATTTTTTTCCAAAGCATAGGCCAGCAGCTTTTAAAAGAACTTTTTTTATGACTGTAAAGATAATACATTATATAACCATTAGAGAAACTTTGAAAAATGCAGGGAAGAACCAGGACAAAAATAAAAATCATTCCCACTTTATACTACTTATGGATAATGATTGTTAACACTGTGATCACTTTTTACTATGTGCACACACACAATCTGCATTATGTTATATATACTTTTGAAATTTGCTTTTTCTTCACTTATAAAAGATATGCATTTTTTGAGTTGTTAAATGATCTTCTAAAATATGATTTTAAAATGGCTGCATATTATTATTTTGTATGAATATACCAGGATTCATTTAATTCATATCCTTTTGGTGGATAATAACATTAATTCTAATTTTTCCCTGATAGCTATGTAACAAATATTCTTGGTATATAAATTGCAGTGTTTTTGATTATTTTCCTAGGATAAATTCCTAGAAATTGAATTAAGTATGTATAATTTTTGAATGTTTTTTATACAGATTACCAGGTTGTCATCTAAAAAGGTTGTATCCACCTATGTTGGTTTCCATCAGCAAACAAGATGGACTGTCCCCTCATGCTGGCCTATTGGTCATTATGTTTTAAATCTCTGCTAATTTAATGAACTAAAAAGGACTGTATAAATGCTTGCTTGGTATTTCTTTGATTATCATTGAGAATGAAATTTTTTTTCTCATGCCTATCAGTCATTTGTATTTCCTTTTTTAATGTCCTGTGTTTCATGTATTTGGCCTGTTTTTCTATCTCAGTGTTGCCTCGTTATTCAGTTGGAAGAGTTTGATCTAATCGAGTGTCTTTTTCTTTTACAAATTTTTCTCATCTTTACAAAAGTAATAGATGCTCAATGTAAAAATATAAGAGAATTGTAATAATACAAAACATAAACACTGAAAATCTCCAAAGTTATACCCTCAAATTGATAATTTGGTGTATATTCCTCCAAATTTTTTTTTCTATCCATATTCTACCAATTACATTTCTTCTCAAAATTGGAATCATACCTATTGTATTTAACTTGATTTTTTTTAAAGATTTTATTTATTTATTTGACAGACAGAGATTACAAGTAGGCAGAGAAACAGTCAGAGAGAGGAGGAAGCAGGCTCCCTGCTGAGCAGAGAGCCCGATGTGGGGCTCCATCCCAGGACCCTGGGATCATGACCTGAGCCGAAAGCAGAGGCTTTAACCCACTGAGCCACCCAGGCGCCACCTAACTTGATTTTTGACTTACTAAATCTTATACATATCCCATTGACAAATATACAGCTTTATTTTCTTTTTAAAAAATCATTTTATTTTTTAAAGATTTTGTTTATTATTTATCTGAGAGAGAGCCCGCATGCACTTGTGGCCTGTGCACAAGCAGGGGGAGCAGCAGAGGGAGAAGCAGACTCCCCATTGAGCAGGGAGCCTGATCTGGGCTCAGTCCCAGGACCCTGGGAACATGACCTGAGCCGAAGGCAGCTGCTTAACAAACAGAGCCACTCAGGCTCCCCAGCTTATCTTTTTTAATAGTTGTGTGCTATCATGACTATATTATGTTTTAAACATGAATAGTTGTACATTTTTACTGAATTATATTAAGTCTTTTTTATGACGTATTGCTTAACTTTTATGTGTAGAAAGAAGGTTCTCAATTTTTTATGGGAATTCTCTGGACTGTTCAAGAAACTACCCTCATTTTCAGAGACAAGCTATGCTGTGAAATTGTGAAGACTGTTGACCCATTTTGGAAACTGTAGGAGGAGTCTAAAAAACTGCTTTGCAAATGAAGGGGGGAAGACACTGTTTTGAGCAAATAAAATGGATTAAGGTTTCTATTTTAAGTGAATAAAATTCAGAGTACATTACCTTTTTGGCTGGTCTCAACAGCTCATTTCTAGAAGGCTGAAATGCATCAATAGTCTTTGAAAGAGAGAATTCTTACTTCCCTGAAACATTCATAAAAAAAATTTATGATCACTGGGTTAGGTGCTAGGAATGCAATGACAAGGGAGCATACACACACACACACACACACACACACACACACACACACTACACACGGTTCCTGCTCTTAGAGTTTCCAGTCACATGGAGACAAACATTATTCAAATAATCATACAAGTTAATATATAAAAACGAACTGCAGTGTGTGCAATGGAAGAAGAGTAGAGGACAGAATTCAGAGGGATCTGCCCCAGGCCTGGAAGATTTTGGAAAGCTAACTTTTGATGTGTCAACAGTGCAGGAGTTGGGGGACTAGGGTGGAGATGTGGGGTTTGGTGGCAGGGGGAGGGTACATTTCCGGGGGAGAAACCCTGAAGCCAGTCGGAAGGAGCTCAAACCTTGGGCAACAGAGGGCTAACTCAACTGCCTACAGAGAAGAAAGGCTGTGGGAGAGGAAGAAGCATGCTTCTGCTGAAGTATTTAAATTCAAACAGTTTTTCGTCATCTACAAATGGTATGATGGGGGTGCCCCTGGCTGGCTCAGTCAGTGGAGCGTGCAGCTCTTAATAGTGGGGCCATAAATTTAAGCCCCATGCTGAGTGTAGAGATTACTTAAAAATAAAATCTTTAAAAAAGAAAAATAAATGGTATGACTACAGGCTATCGGTTTGTGATCCCTGCTTTACAGGGAATGTGAGATCACTGAACGGTAACTGAATTCCTGAAAGAGTTCTGAAACAGCAGCGTCTTCAAAGAATTCCAGAATTTGAATGCTGGGTAGAAGACAATGACCCAGCAAGTGCTCCTGAGTTGGGAAAGGAAAAGCCAGGAATGAACAAGACCTTACTAAAGTCCAGGAAAAGAAGGCCTTTTAAGGAGGACGCAGTTGAGTACTGCTAAGAGATCAAGGAAAACGAGGAGCTGAAGTAGTGACTTCTGCAAAATGCCTAAACTGTGCTGATACTGTTTAAGAAGTCCCATGCATCTTCTGAATTGTGTCTTTTGCCTGATTGGGAGCTGGTGTGGCTGGGTTAGATCCAGCAGAAGCTCCTAGAGACCCCACCTCATTCTAGCAACAACCAGCATGATGTAATAAACAAGACAAGTATAAGATAAACACATTTTTGACAAGGTATTTATTACCACATGCTTTAATATCAGAGAGACTCAAGTGGGCTCACATCAAAAACCATGAAGCATGTATTTCTTGTGCAGTGCTGTAAAGATAGGTATCTGATAAATCTAGGTCTTTAGAACCAAAGCTCTATGAAATGTACTATTGCCTTTATTTAACATAGACTGTTGAAGGTACAGGAATCAGCTACTGAAAACTGCAGAACCCCACCCCTGGTGTATCTTTATTTGTGGAAGAAGTATTCTGAAAAATGTCCCATAGAACAGGATGAAAGTCATTTTCTAAGTTGCAATTATAAGACTTTATTATCAAAACTGACATTTTCCAAGATAAAAACAGAGCACATAATGATTAATGAACTCAACAGAAAGATTCCAAAATAAAGTTTCCACAAATTTAATTCTCTTAAACAACTGTAAATAGATAGTATATGTAGCTTTACCTGAATTAAAAATTCTCAAGGCTCTCACAAAGTTACTCTTCATCAAGAATAAAATTCTACATGAATGGGAATTAAATTCAGAAAAAATTTAGTTAACATAATTGAATGTAATTAATCATTATTAAAATATCAAAACCGAGCAGTACATTTGAGTATATATATGTAGTGCTTTTTAAAGCTCTAGTGAGACACACTTTTTTTTTTTTTAAAGATTCTATTTATTTATTTGACAGACAGAGATCACAAGTAGGCAGAGAGAGGAGGAAGCAGGCTCCCCGCTGAGCAGAAAGCCCGATGCGGGGCTCGATCCCAGGACCCTGGAATCATGACCTGCGCCGAAGGCAGAGGCTTTAACCCACTGAGCCACGCAGGCACCCCTAGTGAGACACACTTTAAAATGTAGCTAAGCAATGTGGTAATAATGTATTAGTCATAAATGTAGTTAAGATTATAGAAAAATAAGTTATGGATATGATTGATGTATAAATAAATCGATATATATAAACACATATAATTTTCTCTTATAGGATTTTAGGAAAATATGTGTCATAGTTAATTCTATATTGTATTTTATTTACAAGTTAAGAACTTAATGAATAATTATTTGGTATTAAGTGGTTCAGTAGGACTTACCCATACATGCTGTCCTTTATATACATTATTGCATTTTTGAAAATCTATAATTTTCAACAACAAACCTCAGAAGTATTATATTTCTTCTCCCTTAAATCTTGGATCCTGTAATCAGATTAATCTTCCTAAAATTCTTTCATCTTATTAGTGCCACATAAATAATTATTCAGTGGCTCCCATTTTCTACAGAATAAAGTTCAGCTCTTTATTCTGGCATTCAAGATATTCCATGCTTTGACCTCAAACTTTATTTTCAAACCAGGCCATGCTCTTCACTGACTCAGTATTAGCATAGGCTAATCATTCCAACCCTGAGCTGTGTTCCTCACTTCAATGTTGCACTTTTTCATCTTCAAATCCTTTGGTTGGTTGGTTTGCTTGCTTGTTTATTTATTTATTCAGTAGGCTCCACACTCCATGTGGGGCTTGAACTCACAACCGTGAAATCATGAGTCACATGTTCTACTGACTGAGCCAGCCAGGTACCCAAACCCTATGATCTTTAAATGTTCCATTTGACTCCCACTTCCCCTGTGAAAATTTCCCTAATGTTTCTGATGCCTTCCTCTAATCTTATCTTTAACACTCATGTTGGCTTTTAAATAGCCACTCTCATGGACTGTTACCGAACTAGTTCCTGTTTTTAAGACTTGTCTCTTCACCCAAATGGGAAATTCCTTGATTAGTGCCTGTGGTGCCTAGCACAATCCTGAGTATATAAGTACATGCTAGTATCATCTTAATTACTTCTGACATTTTATTCTTACAATTTTTCTTTCCATCTACAGAAACAGCACAACTAAAGCCCAAGTTTACTGCTGCTATAGTGTCGTTCTCTTCAGAAGCCAACTGACTTTGCTATTTGCTCCATTTAGTGCATGAAATTCACTGCGCAACTAAAATACATGGAATCTGGAATTTTCTTCAAACCAGGGGCTAACACCTTTAATTTCATCAAGTCTTAAGTAAGTTTCTGTCTTTTGTGATAAATATGTATTTACAGATAGATTTTTTCCTTTTATTTATTTATTTTTATTTATTTTTTTAGATTTTTATTTATTTATTTGACAGAGAGAGATCAAGTAGGCAGAGAGGCAGGCAAAGAGAGAGGAAGGGAAGCAGGCTCCCTGCTGAGCAGAGAGCCCGATGTGGGGCTCCAATCCCAGGACCCCGGTATCATGACCCGAGCCAAAGGCAGAGGCTTAACCCACTGAGCCACCCAGGCGCCCCTCCTTTTATTTTTTTGAAGACTTAAAAAAAAATCATTTGCAAGAGATAAAGACTGACAGCACAAGCAAGGGGAGAGGAAGAGGAAGAGGGAGCAGCAGACTCCCTACTGAGCTGGGAGCCTGACATGGAACTCAATACCAGGACCTGGATATCATGACCTGAAGTGAACGAAGGCAGATGCTTAACCATCTGAGCCACCCAGGCACCCCAGATTTTTCTTTTTCTTTTAATGGACTATTTTGGATGTTCAAGCAATTTCTCTGACATGATAGAGTTTTAAAATAGCTGCCAAGTTTTTCCTTCCACTGAGCGTGATTTTTTTTCCTTTTTCCTGTCCTTTCTCTAACTGAGCAGAGGGAAGGGGGTATAGAAGTGGTAGGATATATGCTTTTTAAAAGGCCACACTGGGCTGGGTGTAGAAAAGCATAAATTATGGTCCTAGCTTCCTCTACTGCACAGACAGCTTTGCTCTGCTTAAAATCGTTATGCTGGAGCTTCACATCTACAAATCCAAGGCAGCTGTAATCCCAAACCATCATGGTTCTCTTCCACCATATAACTGTAGCGACCATTTATTAATCTCCTCCTATATGTCAGATACAATGTTGATTGCTTCATCTATCACATAATTATCATAATTAAGGGAATCGTGATTCTCATTTTACAGAAGAGAAAACTGAGGCTTAGAGATGTTAAGTAATTGGAACAACTAGTAAGTGGCACAGCTGAAGTTTGGATGCAGAACGAATTCTAAAGTCTCTGCTGTTTTCACTACCCCTTGCAATGTTGGTACTGTGTATTGCCAGGAATTCTACTTGGGGAATGTTGGGGCTTGTACTGATGACTTTGGTGGCTATTGGGAAGGACAGAATAATAATAAAATGTTTCAACGTGTTTGAGGAGGCTCACCAGCACTCCTCTCCTGCACACATTTGCTCCAGTCTTATTTAGTTGTTCCCCATTCTGACAATTTACATTACAGTTTACACCAAATTTGGCACTGTCCCTTTTGTAATGGAATATCTGATCCCATGTCTTGGTAGGTGGAAGGAGAGCTGGCAGTTTTTACCTTTGTCAAGGCTCAAGACAAAAACAATAGAATGAAATCAACACAGCAATATACGAATATATATACATGTATTTCTTATGTATTTTAGAAATTCTCCCTGTAATAGACCACAGAAGACAAACTTAAATAAGACTATGTACTCTTCTTGTTCTGACAGATGAATTTTAATCTTCAGCTGTTAGTTCACTTATTTGAAAAAGTCAATAGAAGGAAATTCCAGTGTGACAAGAATTTTGACAGTCCCTCAGTATTATCTCTAACGAAATCTAGTTACATGGTGAACTTTCAGGAAGGATGTAGCTGTGGATGTAGGTTTCAATCAGGCCGTTACTCTTACTTTAGTTATACTGTATGTGGCAATTCCCACTGCTGTTTTATTAGGGCCATGGGAGGAGAGAGGCTATTCTTCTATATTTTTCTACACTCGAGAGTTTACCATATAATGTTCTCTTGGTAACCTAAGAGTCTAAAGATTTCTATGCTGATTTAACCAATGTTTTACATTGAGTTGGGCAGAAGTTTATTAACAAGTATTTGCCACCAAACAGATCTAACTATATAAATATGTATTATATAATTACATTAAGGATACTTTGTGTTTATGAGTCAATAACCTTTCACTCTTGCATCATTTTTACTATTAGGTATTTAAAATGCTTTTATAAATCAGATTTTTTTGGTTTAAAAAAATAATACTAATTTAGTAGGAGACTGGGATGCAGTTTTCAATGGCGTTGACAGTTATGGTGCTATAGAAAGAACCTATACCTGGAATCTAACTTTATAGAGTCTAGGCTCTGCCTCTTGATTTTTATCTTGGACAAATCACTTCATTTACTCACTCATCTACAGGAAGGGAATCATAATTCCCATCCCACAGTGTTTTTTATGAAGACTATTTGGCACATAGGAGCTGTTCTACAGAGGCAAAATTGGGTTTAAGGGATAGGAGCATGGCAAGGAACTTTACTCAGGGGGAATTGGGGAGGGGCTTTTTATGGAGTTTGAACTAAGCATTATTTGTCACAGAGCCCAAGTACTATGTATGGTAGGCCTAGAATACCTCTCCCTGAAATTCTACTTCCAAAGACTAGACTTCCCTATTGGGGGTGAACTCAACCCCAGGGGCATGTTTTGTGATTTTTGTCCTTGTTGCCCTTTCCCCAAGACTGGAAATTTTGGAGAAGCCATTCCTTCATCTTTGTATCCTCCTGGGAACCAAACAGATCATTAGTGTAAGTGCTTAATGTGCTCAATATTAGACAAAGTCCCCATACAGAACAGTGAGTCAGATTAGCAACTGAATAACCATTAGCAGCATTTAAGTTAAAGCCAATTTTAAGTTCTTCCTGTAAGGACCTATTTAGCCAGAGCGCTTCCATCCGGTTAAACAATAATTTTGTTGTTTAAAACTTAAACTCTCCCTGCCCCCCCCTCCCCCAGGCGACTTACTTAAAAACAAGTCCCGGAAACCAGTCCCAGGTAACAAAGCCCAAATACAAGGGTGGATCAGGCCAGGTGGAGACATCCAATCAGTTGGGGGGCACATACTGTCTCCCTAGCTACCAAGGAGTATGGGCCCCGCCCTTTGGACACCTTTTGGGCGCCAATTCCGACCAAGGTAGCCTGGTTCAAATATCTACTGGGGTAAATTGTAATTCAGTTGGTCACTTACGTGTGACCTAACATGACCGCAGCTTTCTCTGTGTTACAATTTCATTGGCCACCTGTACGAGGCCTGGCCCAACCACATGGCCTTTGCCCTTAAAAGCTAGTCTGTGAAGCAGAGAGAGGTCGCCCTCTCTGTAAGAGGCGTGGCCCCAAACCTTCCGTTTGACTCTTGATGCTTGGCTTGAAATCAAGCTTTGCTTGACCTTCGCTTTGTATCAGTCTCGCTCTTTTAATCACGGACCCATTATTGGGGGGACCTAACACTTCCTTCTCTCCAAAGGAAAGAACAGTGGTGTTTTTCCTAAAAGAAAATCTTAATTTGAATTGGATCTCTAGCGTTCAGCCTAAAGCCTCCAAAGAAATTAGGTGCAAGGTTGGGGAGGAGGATAATTAACCTTACTTTGAATGCGCTCTGGTAGGGCCCATAACTAGAGCCTGGGCGTTGGTCCCAGGAGGAATGCCCATCCCACCCAACCCGAGTTGTGAGCTGTCAGGCAGAAAGCTGTCTCCATCCCTCCAAGCCACTGTGGCTGGGTTTCTGGTCTTGAGAGATGCAGATGAAGTGGTGTGAAGGGTTGGGCTTTTTTTTTTGTTCCTAAAAATGCAACGAACAAAAAAAAAAGTACAACAATCCAAACCCAACCATCTTGTTGCGCGCCAGCTTTCTTCCCGGGTGGCACCGCCTCTGGTCGCCCGCGCTCCGTCAGGCACCCAGCGGCCAGGCTCCGCCGGATCCCGGTACCGCGCTCCGCGCCGCCTCTCTGCAAGGAAGAAAAGCCAGCAGCCCGGGACCCTCCCCTCTTCCAGCCGCACCCCGGGCGGCGCCAGTTATTGGTGACAGTTGTTGACACCGGAAGGACTCCCGCCTCACCTCACCCACTGCCCCTCCCCACCCCCACCCCCACCCCGGGTAAAGGCGAAACTCGGGAGACGGAACAAAGGCAAAGCCCGGCCGAGGAGGCGGGCCGAGGTGCCGGGAGAGGAGGGCGCTGGGGCGGGGCACGGCTTGCGCCGAGAGTCCATTTTGCAGCCGTGCCCAGCCGGTAACGCGTGCTCCCCGCGGGTGGAGGACAGACGACCGCAGTGCTCCGGGCTGGCCCCTCCCGCGGCCCCCGAGGTCCGAGATAAGTACCCGCCGGGTCCCTCTCAGGGAGGGGGGGGGGTGATCCTCGGGGCTGCTGCGAGGATGGGGACTTGCCCTGGCAGGACAGCGAACTGCGTGGGTGGGGGGCTGGCGGAGAGCTCAGTTTGAGCTGCACTCCCAGATGCACAGCGGAAGCCAGCTGGGCACTGGAACAAGGCGTGAATTGGAGCGGCGTGCAGGGGGCGTCCGCTGGGCGGGTGCAGTGGGTCTGTGCTCCAGAAAACCTGCTCCGCTACCGATTATGCCCGGCTTCACGGCCAGAGCCTCGGAATCGCCTACGAAAGAAAAGGCGACCATGAATCCTAAATCGGAGCGCTCAGCCACTTTCTGGCACCGAAGCTGGGGAGGTGCCTGGCGTCGGGGGAGGGCGCCCTAACCGGGAAGCTGCTTAGTACTGCACAAAGATCTCCAGCCATGCTCCTGGCCTTTTCACCACGTCCTACCTAGCACGCTGGCTTTATTTGTGGGGGACGACTGAAAAAATTGAGGATCAAGACTAAGGGTCCTGTGTAAATAAATGCATATTACTGTCTTCTTTGTTCTTTCTTTGCAGTAGTCTCGTTTGATTGTCGATCAAAACGTGAGAAAAAAACCCAAACCTGATTGCTTTGTCCTGGGAAATAGTAACGCTGACGAATACACCTGCTCGCAGGGGACAGAGGTAAACTACAATACTTCTCCCTACATTAAGAAACCAAAAAGCACCCAGGTTTTTTTTTTTTTAAGGCCGAGAACTATGCAAAATTCAACTAAGTGTAGAATATATGTGTTCCGTCCTCATGGGTGGTCTCTGTCCTTTTCATATTTTTTCAAAACTCAGAAGAATAGATTCAGTATTTGGAAAATTTTTATGTAGCAGTTTTTCTACAAATATTACAGTACACTGATTTATAATGAAAAGGAAAAGAGATGCCTCGGTAGCATTTTTTTTTTTTTTTTTAGATTTTTTTTTCCTTCTTCCATACTATGCTGCTAGGGCTTGTACAAATACTGAGTTTTCTAACTCTAGAGACTTTTATACAATAGGTATTTTAAAAGCAGAATTTTATTTACATAGCCACTCCTCCTGGTAGAACTTGATGGAGCTGTTGATTAACTGGTTATATTTGTCTTAGGCAATGAGAAGAGACATTTCTTAAGGCTCTCTTTTTCTTAAAAACACCATCTTTTTTGTACTAGCTGAGATACTAAGCCTCCCTGGTAAGTCCTTACATAACACCAGGTTATTCTTTCCGTTCTGTACATTTATGTATCTGGTCTTAACTTGTAATTATGTTACCTGGTCTTAACTTGTACCACAGCTATGTTCAGATATGCCCATTTCTGTGAAAGTGCTTTGTATGTGGTATCCAATATAATGGCTTTACCTTTTCATGAAATTGTAGTTCAAGAGTCCAGTTCTCTTTCAGGACCTTTCTTGGTTAATATACTCATGCTCTAAAATAACACTTTATTTTTTATTTTTTATTTTTTTTAAGATTTTATTTACTTATTTGACAGGCAGAGATCACAAGTAGGCAGAGAGGCAGGCAGAGAGAGAGAGAGAGGAGGAAGCAGGCTCCCTGCTGAGCAGAGAGCCCAATGGGGGGCTCGATCCCAGGACCCTGGGATCATGACCTGAGCCAAAGGCAGAGGCTTAACCCACTGAGCCACCCAGGCGCCCCTAAAATAACACTTTAAATGTGAATTTACATTTTGTGTATTTGTTCATAACTGTAATCCATCCATCTTATATAGTTTAGCAGTTTACAAAACTGGCACTCATTACTTAATCTTCTATGATGAGGATGAGGCCGATAATGTAAAAATCCTCATTCTATGGAGGCTAAAACTCTTGCTTGAAGTTAGATATTCAGAGACAGGTTCAGTGCTCTATTTCCTCTACTAGAGAGCCTGTTATAGCCTAATTTGTAAAAATCACAAAATTTTAGAAGGGAATTTAGAGAGCCATGATTAAACTCCGTTTTGGGCTGCCTGGGTGGCTCAGTGGGTTAAGCCTCTGCCTTCCGCTCGGGTCATGATCTCGGGGTCCTGGGATCGAGTCCCGCATCGGGCTCTCTGCTAGGCAGGGAGCCTGCTTCCTCCTCTCTCTCTCTCTCTACTTGTGATCTCTCTCTGTCAAATAAATAAAATCTTTTTTTTTTTTTTTTTAAAGATTTTTTTTTTATTTATTTATTTGAGAGAGAGGCAGTGAGAGAGAGCATGAGCGAGAAGAAGGTCAGAAGGAGAAGCAGACTCCCCGTGGAGCTGGGAGCCCGATGCGGGACTCGATCCCGGGACTCCAGGATCATGACCTGAGCCGAAGGCAGTCGTCCAACCAACTGAGCCACCCAGGCGTCCCAATAAAATCTTAAAAGAAAAAAAAAAAAACATCCATTTTATGAATGAGAACGCTGAATTTTTGATCCACTTTCTGGATTGTGCTAAAAGCCTAAGAATTGGGAAACTCAGGTCCTATGCCTAGCTTGCTGTGTATAATTGGGAAAGCTCCATTTTTGGAGGGGGGGGCGGTTCAGTTTTTTCAGTTATAAAGTTAGGTCTTTTCTAGGTAGTCTCTAAGATACTTTTAGACCCAGTACTTTTTTTTTTTTTTTTTTTTTTTTTTAGGATTTTATTTATTTATTTGACAGAGATCACAAGTAGGCAGAGAGGCAGGCAGAGAGAGAGGAAGGGAAGCAGGCTCCCTGCTGAGCAGAGAGCCCAATGTGGGGCTCCATCCCAGGACCCTGGGACCATGACCTGAGCCGATGGCAAAACTTTAACCCACTGGGCCACCCAGGTGCCCCTAGACTCAGTACTTCTATTTTATTCCTACTCCATAACTTTTATTATCATATATTCCCTATACATATTGGTAATCCTAAATACATATTAACTGCCATAAACTTTTATATTTTAAATTTGGGTAGGTATGGTAAAAACGTATGCCTTATTCTTGTTTTTTTTTGTTTTGTTTTGTTTTTTGTTTTTTTTTTTTAAAACTATAAAAGTAGGTTCTGTTGTAAGATCAGGAACTGCATGGAGAAGTGGGGCAATCATACGTCATTGGTTAGAGTTCATAAATTGGTATACCCGTTCTTGAGAGAAACCTGGTAATCTTTTCAAGGTCCTTAAAATTCTTCTCATTGACACACCTAACAGTACACTTATAGGAACCGTCTAAGGAAATAATCAAAGCTGTAGACCTTTTCTGCAAGATGTTCATTTAAATGTTAGAACCCAAAAAGACATATAAGCCAGTAAGAGCATATCCATAAGATGGACTATCACATTTTAGAAGAATATGTAACAATAGGGGAAATATAAGTAATAAAGTGAAAAATGGTGGATACAAAATGGTGTGAAGCTACCAGTTTTGTTAAAATAGGTATGTACACAAACACAACACACACAAGATTGGAAAAAATAAAAAAGTAATAATGGTTATTCCTTGCTGATGTGATTATAGGTGATTTCTCCCCTGTATTTTCTGAATTTTCTATACTCATAAATTACTTTTATAGTTTAAGAAAAAAATAAAAGTTGGTTGCTTGGATAACCTCTCTAACTTAAGTATGGTGTCAACTTTCTGTGTCCGTTTTACAAGGCATTTATCATACCTTTTACAGGAATAATATCTTTGTAAATGTACTGTTACTTCTGAATTTAGGGCAGGAATTGAGTTTTGGCTTATATTTCATCTTTTTAAATATCATTAGGTCATTAGATTATTCATTCTTTTTACTCAACAAAGACACTGCCATCTTCATTACCTTGGCCTTGAACTCTGGATACTAGAATGGTACTGAAGAATAGAGTGCTATCCCCACTTCTCATAGTAGTTAGCCTAATATAGGCATCCTTTGACATACAGAATCCATTAAGCCTTCTATAAAGCAATTTCCTATAAACTTTTTAAAAATAAATTAATTTCCATTATAGATGAAGACATACTACTAATACTAAGGAAGAGTTGAACTGCAAGTTTTTTGTTGACAGTTTAAATTATTGTCTTTCCTGTGTTATTAGTGCCACAAGTATATTCTGCTGCAATAGCCAGGTTCCCCATTGTAACTCCATTAGGAGCTTTTTTATTCACCCTGCATATTTGTGGTATTGAATATGAGCGAGGAGTGCCAACATAGTATATATAATATAGCCAACCTAAAAATTGCTCAAGTTTAGCATAATTGGCTTTCTCCTTGATATATTCTGTAGCCCACATTTACTTTAGAATGAGATGTATACATAATAATACACTGAGCAAAAGGACCTTTGTTTAAACTAATTACATTTCCAACAGGCATCTCAGAAGTAAGTTCTTATTAGTTGATAAGTAGTGCTTATCATTTATCTACAAAATACCTCTTTTCCCTTCTATGGTATTACATATGACGTAAGTAACCTCAGTTTTATCTAGATAAATCCAGGTAGCTACCTACCAAATGATAGACTTTAATAGTACTTCTGAAAGCTGGCATTAACCTGAAATACAGATTTAGATGATGGAGACTTTTTATTAGATACCAACCAGTAGTGATTGCCAAATTTATAGTCGTAAAATAAGAAGCTGTTTTAGGGGTAAAAATTTTCCATCTTAATTAAACTCACTTGTATTTATTTAGGGGAAAAGAGACCAGACATTTCTGGTTTGACCTTTCCAGAAGTCATTAGTTCCAACTTAACTGGAACTCTTTAACGGGTAAAGATAAAGATCTGAATCTGTTTGGTACCAGAGTAGGAAAATAACTTAGTCTATATATATGTTTTCCTTAAATTCAGACGTATTCAAATGGATTTCACCTGGTGATTGAATCAAATGGATTTCCAGTGCCCTAAAATGGGTGGGAGAGAATAGCCTTCAACACTGTGTGGAAATCACAGACTTCTGTGGGGATTTTTTGTTGCTAAATTAAAAATTTTTTTAAATAATTATAACATCCAACATGGGGTCAAATTTATGATCCTGAGATCAAGGATGCATGCTCTACTGACCAAACCAGCCAGGCATCCTCCTCCAGATTTCTTGACAGTTGTACAGAGGTGGGATAGGGATATCTGATGGAGCTATTGTCCTAAAATCCTATTGATATAATGCTGTGGTTTACGGAATAATAGCTGGGATAATTAGCAAGAGACACAAGGCAAAGATAAAAGGGAAAGAAAGGTAAGTAAGGTGAAGAGGCAGGTAGGAGATAAGGAAAGAATAGGAGGAAATCAAAAGACTATACACCTTGACATGGGCAGTATGATGAGTTAAGAGAATAAACAAAGGAAAGAGTCAAGGCAAAATAGT